AACCCTGAAGACATTATGCTGAGTAAAATTTCATGGTCTCCATCACATGAACTCAGTTCTTGAGCCCTGGTTTCCCAATGGGTGGGATGATTTAGGCTTGATCAGAGATGGATATGGGGAATACCAGTGGCTAGGGAGATACTCCCAGGTCTCAGTGATCCTGCTTCATTCCGAACATCCTAGAGTAATTCTGCTTTGATTGCGCTACATAAATACATTCCAGATAAATTTTCTTTTGAAATAAAGAAATATTTTTGAATTTCAAAAGAAAGAAAATGGAGCAGGTGATTCCCAAGGCCTGCCTGCTCTGCAGTTCTCTGAGTTCAGAGCAATGAGGGGTGGGAGAATCAATGTCTTCATACTGGTGGCTAATGAGGGTCTGATGTGCCTGGTGATTTGGAGGTGACACTGCCCTGGAGCTGGGCTGAGTCACCATATGGCGACACAAACATATCAGTCCTACACAAAATCCTACCCAGCTGGAGCCCATCATTCTAGCAAAGTAGCCCAAACTTTCTGAGAAAAATAAGGAAGTAGGGGTTCTCAAATCTTAGACACTTATAAAGGAGGTGTTGTTGTTGGTGGTGGTCGTGGTGATGCTGTTTGGTTGTTTGTTTGAGGAGTGTGGTATTTACTTGAAACAGAGTCTCACTATGTTGCCCTGGCTGTCCTGGAACTTTCTATGTAGACTAAACTCACGGATATCTCCCTAGCTCTGCCTCCTGAGTGCTGGGAGTAAAGGTGCATGCTTCCATGCCCAGCTTCCACTAAGGGGCTTTTGAAAGATTTGGAGGCCCAGCCAAATCCCAGGATAAATAAATTGAAACCTGGAGGAGGAAACACTGACTTCTTTATTATTTAAGGAGGTGACTTCCTGAGTATCTCAAACCAGAATTGACTGAGGTCATTCCTTGCCAGTGTGTCCTCCCCCTTAGTCCTTTGTGGTTCAGAATTCAGCCACTGAGAGAACACCTGTAATCGGAGGGTCTTCCCTAGCAGGGAAATCAAACAGAAGTCATTTGTAAAAATCTTCACATGAGTATAATGCGCAGTCAAGTTTAAGCCAAATGCAAAACTATGATGATTGCTTTAAAAAAATTGAAATTGGCCGGGCGGTGGTGGTGCGCGCCTTTAATCCCAGCACTCGGGAGGCAGAGGCAGGTGGATCTTGTGAGTTCGAGGCCAGCCTAGTCTCCAAAGCAAGTTCCAGGAAAGGCACAAAGCTACACAGAGAAACCCTGTCTCGAAAAACCAAAAAA